GGCGTAGGTGACCCATTTCTTAGGCACTTCAACCTGGACACAGCCGAAATGGGCTCCAATCTCATCCTTTCGGACGAGGAGGGCCTGGCGGACTGCGTCGTTCTTGGGCACAAGGGCGAATCCGGTAGGAACTTTATGGCATCCGGGGATGTCGGTGGGGGCGAGGCGGAGGAATGTTTGCACTTCTTTGTGAATAGCGAAGGGGGAGTCCCTATCTAGTCGTAGGAAGACACGGCCGTCACTTTGGGGTGTAGGAAGCGGGGCAGCCTTACGGATAGGGCTGGAGCAGGGAGTGGAGCGGGAGGCCGAGGCGGAGTTTACGCCCTTGGCGGCTATTTCTGCAAATGTGACGGGTTCTTTTCCCGTGCCTGCTAGGACGTTGGAATCCGGGGTAGGCGAAGGTGTGTCCAGGGTAGTTGATGCGGATGCAGAATTTTTCCTTAGGGCGGCCGTGATGGTCCGTGCGAGGTGGTTGGCCTCGCGGGCGTGGGCTGGAGAGACGACGGAGATGCAGGCGAGTTCAGAGTCGAGGACAGTGGCGATGGAACGAGATACTTCAGCGTTAGCGAGAGCATCGGAGATGACCGTCTTTGCGAAGGACGAGATGTGTCTAGTGGTGTTGGCAGTGGTGGTGGTGTGGGCGTGACGGACTTCCTCGTCCGCAGTCCGGGCTCTCTTGGCCGACTGCGCCATCGTGGGGGGCGGGGGCGGGACGCAAAGGATGCCCGGCAAAGGAGTAACCGGTATTATAGCCGGCGACGGTGGTTTGGGGGCCCCAGAGGGCGAAGGCGTAGACATTTTGATGTTGTGGATGTTGGGGTATCGACCGTGAAAACGGCGATTTAGGTGGTGTTAGGGATTTTGCGGGCAACCAAGAGTTAAGACTAACACTTGGCGCTAAGTCTTTTGGTTGTAGGAGGAAGATGGGTAGCTAGACAGGGTAAAGGGCCGGGGGTGGCCGGAACGAATCCGGTGCTATCCCCATACCAACCATATAAAAAGGCAGTACCTCTAATCGAACAGTTGTTTTGTTCATGTTACTGTGTGATTCATGCATGAATGATGTCTTTGTACCATGGTCGACGTTCAGTGACCACTGTCACACGGACATATGCCACACTGCTGGTGTCATACGAGAAAGACCTACATGTATGCAGATCGCTAGGTGCCTTGGAGCCTCAGGTGACAAGGACCTGTACGTACTGGATACGTACCGTTTCCCTTTGGCATAAGAAGGCCTTGAAGCCCAGCCTTCCCCTAGAGGTTGAGAGGATCAACAAGGCCTTCGAGACCAAAGTAGTTTATTAGCTGAATTGAACTACTGTTCCAAGCCCAGAACTCTGCCCTTGTCACAACCACCTAGCCTGTGGCGCTGTGCCTCATGGCGAACACGATCACTCCCTTTGACCAACGAACGACCTAGAGGTATTGTGCCCTTCACCTTTCTGTGGTCTATATAACGATTGTTTACCTCTGAATTTTGAGGACCTTGGTCGTCCTTCAACTCCAGTCATGATCATGTTAAATACCAAAAATATAACTGGGTGGTCCCAACCGGGCACGCCCACCATTACCAACGGCGGAAGCACGAGCAGCCCTGAACAACAACAACAACAACAACAACAAACTTACCTGTCTGAATCTCATCAACCACCGCCACCGCCACCGCCACCGCGCGATGTCTTAATTGTCGTTGGAGTCTTTGGCTTCCTCATCATCCTAATAGTGTTAGGCTTGGTTCGGAAGTCAGGCTGTTGGGAAAGACGAAATCACGGGAGGAGGATGCGAGCGGAAGACCAGGTTGTGAGTACGGCGTGAATATAGCCGAGGAGTGGACTGTGGAGTGAGGGAGAAATATTTGGTAGGAACCCGTTGCGTAAGATTCGATGTTATTACATACTAACTTGAAATTGTATTAAACTCACATTTTGGATACATACTCTTCTGGTTATATCATAGTGATAATTGGGTCATCAGAGGATGACAGGCGAACTACTTGAACTCGAGAGACGCGAGAACCTGCTTAAGCTGAGTGCTGCTGGACTCTTGTGCGATGCTATAAATGCAATTCGCAGGTTCAGGCTTACTACGAGAACCTGATAATAAATTTAGACTCCGGTCCTTAGGATCTCTCCTTTTAAAGCTCGGAGCTTCAATTTTCCCTTCTCCTTAATTTGTAGTTGTGGCTTATAATGCACTTTGTCAAAAATCCATTAGGTGCTCCAAGTGGTATGTTTTGATGGGGTGCGGGTATGTTTACTCTTCGAAAACCCCAAGACGAGAATTTAAATTTGGATCCACCTACAAATCTACAATACCAGAAAGTATTACAAGATTGACAACAACGAGCTCTACAGGGGCATAAACTTATAAAAGAAGGTTATAGAGCAAGGAACAGGGCTCAATAACAGGAACAGAAGGGTGAGGGCTCGAGAAACATGATCGTGCATAGAAATTTTGGTGGGTATGAGTGTTGCAGTGTGCCTACAGATTATGTGTGCTTTGTGAGGGATTTTCTCTAGCCCTGAAAAGAATAGCTCGGAATTCTGCCGTGGCTGTATAGTCCCTAGCGCATGTACATACTCTATGCAAGACTGGAAGAAATATGTACAGCTGCAAGGAACGAGATTCGAGAAAAGTTCAAAGCTGCTGCCGGACAGCAATAAATATATAAACCCCCTCCCCCATTACCCACCAAGTCATACGATTTCATTTCTTCTCTTCTCAGGTCCTCTTCCCATCAATCTCAAACGAATTCACATCATATCCATCACAGCTCGCTGATCCCAGGAAACATCCACTCCACTCCACAGCAGCAGCGATTTCCGTCGACCATCTTATATGTCACTCAAAATGTCCACCCCAAAGAAGCCCTCGTGCTCTCTACAGCGAAGAAATGCCTTCCGGAAAAGTCAAAATCTCAGAAAACCCACATCAACACCGAGAACCTTTCCGACATAACCCATGTCCTCTCTACTCCGTTTCCGTCCGTCTCCTTCGACTCCGACTCTGTCTCTGACACCGACACCGACTTCTATTTCGACGACGGTTCAATCTCCATCGACGAGTCTTCACCCTGCTCCTCCTCCGTCCATGTCCAATTCGTTCCCACGGCTCCCATGATTCCGATTCTGCACAGTCGTAAATCCTTCGGCAACGACAGCAACAGAAACAGCCACCTTGACACGGAAACCGACACCGACACCGACACCGACAATGACGAAAGGGAGGACGAGGGAGACGAAGAGGACCTCATTGACTCCATGTCCCCCAAACAGAACCTCAAGATTTAAATTGCCGCTGTCCCGATGCATTGTCTGCGGCCCCTTTGTCAGAGAATACGCGGCGGCCATGGACGAGGACTTGCTCGACTCCGACGACTCCGACGGCATGAATCAGATGTCATACGACAACGTCGATACATTCCACTACTGCCACTATGACGGCTGCAACCCGCACCACATGCAGGTTCCGTACAACGACTACCGGAGAGAGGAGAATCCCTATGAGCAAAGCCAGGATGATGCCTCTACCTCTACTACTACTGATAGGGTCGTTGGTGGCGTGAGCAAGGTTTATAATCATGATAGGAACGACGATCGACTTGCACTTTCTTCGAGGGAGGGAGGGGGCGGTTTGTGGTCCTCTCCTATAGACCGTCGTTGAAGTCGCCTACTATGGACTTGAAGAAGTAAGAAGAAGAAGACGAACATGAAGAAGGTGACCTGGGCTGATATGGAAGATGAGGGGACTGGGTCTGAGACCGAGACCGAGATTCATGTTGCGAGCGGTCTGTGTCCAGCAGGTCCTGAAAATGGTCAGGATGCTGCTGCTGGACAAAAGCAAGCATTCATGGGTCTGCATTTTGAGGATAATGATATGGAGGTGGGGAAGGAGAAGAAGGAGAAGGAAAAGAAGAAGGAGAAAGCCACCACCAAGGGGTTTTGGAAATTGTTGACTGGTCTTTTGGGTTGTGGTTTCTGTGTAGCGAACTGTCACACGGACATTCGACCTC